TGCTAGCTGACTGGCTGACTGGCTGGCTCGGGTGCCTTGAAGGGTGGTTGTAGGGGAGATGTAGAGAGAGAGAGAGAGATGAGAGGGTGGGGATAGTGAGAAAGAGAGAGGGATGTGAGGGTGGAGAAGAGAGAAGAAAATGAGAGAGAGAGAGTTTGAGGATGGGGAAGAAAGATGGAGAGGGGAGGGAAAGTTTTGTGTTTCCTTTTCTATTTTCTTTCTTTGTACTTTATTTCTTGTCGTATTTATCTGAGTCTTGGTCTGTCTCCTTGTTGTTCGTGTCTCTCTTATTTTGTCTTTCCTTTCTCTCTTATTGTTTCTCTTCCTTTCGCTCCCTTTTTAATCTCTTTATGCTTTATCCCATTCCTCTATACCATCTGTCTTTTTTATCGCTCTTCCGTCCCTTTTCCTTTCTCCCATTCTCTCTCTCTCTCACACACACAGCTTTGCCCTGACCGACCCTTGACTGGCATTTAAGAAGGGGTCGGTAGCCCCTTCCTCTTATCCGACCAATACCTCACTGATCCCGTCTTTTTGTTTCTGTCCGTCCGTGTTGGCAGTCCGGCTTCCCTCCTCCTCCTCCTCCTCTTCCCTCCTCCTCTTCTTCCTCCCCTCCTCTTCTTCCCTCTTCCTTCTCCTCTTCCTCCACCTTTACCACTCCGACGTATCTAGGGGAAACGTATCGTATCTAGGGGGAAAACGTTTTGTATCTAGGGTAAAAATTATCGTATCTAGGGAAAACGTATTGTATCTAGGGTAAAAAGTATGGTATCTCGGGGAAATAATGGTTATCGTCGATTTCTTCGGGCATATCTTCTGCCTGAAGGTCGAGTGGCACTTGAGGGGAGAAACTCTTATGTATCTCGAGGAAGTGGTCATATTTTTGTACTAAGAGAAGACATTTGATCACCTGAGGATTAGTCACGCCTTCCCAGGTTTATTCACCTGACGATGAAACACCCCTAACGCTACCTTGGGGGAGGGGTTAGATTATATATAGAATTGGTTAGATTAAGTTGGCTTATTTTTTTAGGTTTGGGTTGCGTTAGGTTAGGTTTGGTTTTCGGTAAGTTAGGTGAGGTTTGGTAGGTTAAGTTAGGTTAGTTTAGGTTAAGTTAAGCTAGGTTAGTTTAGGTTAAGTTAAGCAAGGTTAGTTTAGGTTAAGTTAAGCTAGGTTAGTTAGGTTAGTTTAGGTTTAGTTATGTTAGGTTTGTTGTAAGTTAGTTTAGATTGGGTTAATGTATTGGCTGGTGAAGACATTGGCTTGAAGGTTTACTGTGTAGAAAAAATTAAATAAAAGAAAAGAAGTGAAATGAAAACAAAAGGTAAAACGAAAAAGGAGGCTTGAGGTATATACAGTACTTGTTAGCTTCCCATTACAGTCTGTGTTAGCTCCGTCAGGTGATTTTAGGAGGCTCTATACCTGACGGCGGGCGCCCTAGGAGAGCTCCGGCCTCATGCGGTGCTGGATCGGAAAATAATAACAGCACCTGGAATGAAACACGAGAGAACTTCCTGATGGAGGGTTCTGGCCTCCTGCAGCACCGGTGAAAAAGGATTTGTTGGTGGTTGGATTGTGTAAAGAACGCCTTAGAGGAGTTTTAAAGAGAGTGATCATGCCGTAGCGGCTAAAAGAACGATTGTGTAGGAGTTATTAAAGAACGTCTAAGATTAGCTGTCAAATATTGAGTCAGCAGCAGTAAAAGAACGCCCTGAGATGAGTGACTTAAAGAACGTCCGGTGAAAAAAAAAATGCTTGAGCATCCTCAATCCTGTAAGAACGACAAAAAGAACCTCCTTCAAGAACGGGAAGAAGGGAAAAAAGCCTCACGAACGACAAAAGCGCCCTCCCTCCTCCCTCACCCCCAATGAAAGAGTAAGAAGGTCTTTGGCAACCTGCAGAAGCTACAAAAGAACGCCCTTCCCTCCCCCCCCCCTTCTTCAGGAGAAGCAAAAGAGGGAACGCCCTGGGACGCGGAAGGTGAAGGTGGCAGCGTAAAAGAGAGAGAGATGGAAAGAGAGAGAGAGACGAGGTGGTTGGGTATAGGTAGGAGGGAGGGAGGGGAAAGGAGGGTGGAGGAGGAGGCCCTGGTACACCCTCTTCCCTCCCCTCTACAGCAGGTCTCAGCTTTAAGACCTTGGCCAGAGCTCTCCTCCAGTTCTTCATCTCACCTTTAATAGTGTTAGCATGTGGTGGTGGTGGTGGTGTTTTTTTTTTATTTATTTTTTATTTACATCGTAGTTATGCTTTAAATATTGTGTGTGTGTGTGTGTGTGAGATTGATAAAGGAATTGGTGTAGGACTTAGGTAGAAGAGAGAGAGAGAGAGAGAGAGAATTGGGATAGGGTAGGACAAAGAGAACGAGGAATGAGGGATGGAGGAAGGAGAAGTAAGAGGGCGGAGAGAAGGGGAAAGAACATAAAACAGGGGAAGCTTGAATTATAGAGGAGTTGGGGTGAGAGGGAATAAAGAGAGGGGGGGAGAAGGAGAGAGGCGTGAGAGGGAATAAAGAGAGGGGAGGAGAAGAAGGAGAGAGGCGTGAGAGGGAGATGAGTCAGATGTAAGTGGTGGAGAGAGAGGGGGAGGAACTGGTCTGTTTCCTGTGTGCACTGTTATTATCTCTCTCTCTCTCTCTCTCCCTCTCTCTCTTTCTCTCATTCTTCTTCCCTCTTTCCTATTCTCTTTGTCCTCCCCTAACCCAGTTCTTTTTCCACTGTCTCGCCCCTTTCTCTTCCTCTGTCTCTCTCTGTCTCTGTCTCTCCTCCTTCTTCCCTCGCCCTCTTAAGTCCCTCTGTGTCCTCCTACATTCTTCTTTGTCTTCTCCCTCTCACTGCTGTTGTTCCTCCCCACAACCATCATCATTATCATCATCATCATCATTATTGTTATTCTTCCCTTGCATACTTCTTGTCCTTGTGCATCATACTCCACATTTATTCTCTCTCTCTCTCTCTCTCTCTCTCGTAGTCCTTATTTTTATTAGTATTACATTTTCTTCTTTTTACTACTACTACTACTACTACTACAATTTATTAGCTGTTGGAGGTATCGTCTCACCCCCCAGTGGAACACGTGGAGGGAGCATAAGCATTCCTCAAGCACCTTCCCGGTACAGTAGGGTACAAATACTGGCATAGTTGGCACTGTGTAGTCAGACTAGTGCCACCTTACATGACTTGACTGGTGGATGTGTTCAGTACGTGAGGCACTTTATTTTTATTTGGGTGTATTGTAATGTTGTTTAGAGGTTGTTTTAACGGACCGTATGTGTGTGTGTATGTATGAAAGTATGTATGTGTGTATGTATGTATGTATGTATGTGTGTGTGTGTGTGTGTTATTGGGATCATAGGGAACATTATATTAACAGGTGACCCCCCACACACACACATGTTGTTCACAGGTGTTCACATGTGTGTCACTGTGCCCACCTGTCACCTGTGTTGTGTTGTTGTTGTGTGTCAGGGAAGAGTATAACAATTTTTACGATCACGCCAGGTGGTCTGTCTGTACACCTGTGCTAACTAACTAACTACCACACCTGCCCTCGTTAACCTCACTCCTGCCACCCTCACACCTGTCACCCTCACTACCTCACACCTGTCACCCTCATTACCTCACTCCTGTCACCCTCACTACCTCACACCTGCCCTTCACTACCTCACACCTGCCCTTCACTACCTCACTCCTGCCCCTCACCACCTCACACCTGCCCTTCACCACCACACCTTCCCTCACTACCTCACCTCACCCTCACACCTGTCCCCTCACTACCTCACACCTGCCCTGTCACACCTGCCCTTCACTACCTCACACCTGCCCTTCACTACCTCACACCTGCCCTTCACTACCTCTCACCTGCCCCTCACTACCTCACACCTGCCCTCTCCACACCTGCACTACCTCACACCTGCCCCTCACTACCTCACACCTGCCCTTCACTACCTCACACCTGTCCCTCACTACCTCACACCTGCCCCTCACTACCTCACACCTGCCCCTCACTACCTCACACCTGCCCCTCACTACCTCACACCTGCCCTTCACTACCTCACACCTGTCCCTCACTACCTCACACCTGTCACCCTCTTAAGTAGGTAAATTTTTCTGGAATTTTCCTCTTACATAAAATTTCAGGAAAAATGTTGTTCTTAGACCGCGACTTTACCTGTTGGCCCGCCGCCCCTTTAACTCCTTAAAATATCATGCCAGACTTAAAATGCTCCTCGAAAAATGTAATGCTCTCCTAAATTGTAATGGTTCCCTAAAAATGTAATGCTGCCCTAAAAGTGTAATGCTGCCCTTAAATGTAATGCTCTCCTAAATTGTAATGTTTCCCTAAAAATATACTGTAATCCCATCCTAAATTTTGTAATTATTTTAAGGATTTATTACACTTACGATAAACATTAATTTTAAAGGCATGATTATTACATTAAAATCTGTAGGAATATAATACGTACCGGACTGTAAAATCTGAAATCCATTATGGAGGATTTTAGTCAGGATTTTGGGACCATTAAATGATTTTTGCGGAGCTTTCTAATTATTCCAACAATTTCATCCCATTTTTGCTTCCTGTTATATGAAATTAGAATATTAATGTGACTCGTAGATAAAGGCTGTGTCTATTGTAAGTACAGGTTGTATAATTTAAAAGTGCCAACTATGTACATTACAGGTGCCAGATATATAAATTACAGTTACCAGCAATGTACATTAAAGGTGCCAGCAGTGTACATTACAGGTGCTAACTATGTACATTACAGGTGCCAGATATATAAATTACAGTTACCAGCAATGTACATTAAAGGTGCCAGCAGTGTACATTACAGGTGCCAACTATGTACATTACAGGTGCCAGATATATAAATTTCAGTTACCAGCAATGTACATTAAAGGTGCCAGCAGTGTACATTACAGGTGTCAACTATGTACATTACAGGTGCCAGATATATAAATTACCACTTGAAGCTAACAACCCGTTTTCTGTTTTTCAGGCTACGTCAATGTATTAGGGGCGATGATTGGAGGAGCGTGTCAGGGTGCCACGCCCACTAGCTTGGCTCAACCAATAGGACCAGCCCTTCGCCCACCCTGGACCTCGGCGTCCATTGAAGGTTGGTAGCACTGTGTGTGGAGGGGGGAGGGGGTCCTGTTTTATACACATGGGGGGGAGGGGAGGGGAAGGAATCTTGTTTTATACACGTTTTACCCTTTGACGTAAACAGTCTGTCTCTCTCTTTCACACACACACACACCCACCTATCTGTGTTACCGTCCTCCAAATGGTAACTAACCCAGAGGTGCCAGTGACGTTTGTGCCAGCCCACTACCACAATAAGACGTGGGGGAGGGGAGGGGGAGGGACAGTGAGGAGGGTTGGGGCAAGGGAGCGACGACAAGATTGTTACCACTTGGAAATATTTGGCGGACTAAAGAGTTATTACCTGTGAAATATTTAGCTCAGTGTCAGAGAGGAGAGGGGGGATAGAGAGGACAGGGTGGAGGGGTAGAAAGGACAGGGATGACGGGGGGGGGGGTAGAGAGAACAGGAAGAATTGAATTGAATTGTTGAATTGAAACAGTTTATTTAGCCAGAAAAATACAGATACAGAGTGGATAATAATAACAATAGTAACATGGCTGAGCCAGTTGAGAACCTGAGCTCTCTTTGAGGCACCTGATATATACTATACATTTATCTCAAGGAAGTATTATGTAACATTTAGTATCATCTGGAATAGTACAATAGCATGGTAGTAATAAGAACATCTCATAGTGTTACCACGGTTATCACTTCAATATTTATTGATTTTATTATTTATTATTTTTTTATTATTATTATTGTTTTATTTATTTATTTATACATACATATTCACATACCTATACATATATACACATATATACATATATATGTATATATATATATATATATATATATATATATATATATATATATATATATATATATATATATATATATATATATATATATATATATATACACATATATATATACATATACACACACATATACATATAAATTAGAGTGGAATTTAAAAACATAAGTATAATGGGGGAGCAGTACAACCTGCGTTGTGCAGTAATAAGGTTGAACAAGAGGACAGAGCTTTCAGGATTATATCTAGTTGGCAATTATGTTTATTGCAATGCTAATTACTTATTTATTTACATGAATAATTTCCGATAAAACGGATTTGGTGGTACAATAAAAGCAGGTACTGTAAATATAGTAAGTGTTACAAGAAATATTAATACTTCGACAATAGATATTTTTTTAGAGATGATTTAAAGGAAGGGAGCGTAGTCTTTGCTCAGATGGGTGGGGGTAAGTTGTTCCATACCGTCACACCGAGATATTTTATGGAGATCTGGGACTTAGAGGAGCGCATGGGGGGTGGTCTTAGTAGCTCTGGGTGCCTTAAGTTGTATCTCTGATTATTCCGGAACTGGAAGTAATTATTGTCTAGCAAGTGATTGATAGATTTGTAAACAAAGAGGGCACAGCAGTAAGTGTTAATATCTTCGAATTTTAAAAATTTCAATATAGCAAATTTTTCGCTTGTGTGATCTGTTTTTTTCAAGTAGGTCATTGTCCGTACAACTCTCTTTTGTGCAGTAACCAGAGATTGTGTTTTTGAAGAGCCAGAGGCCCCCCATAGTGTGTGGCAGTGTATCAGGTGTTGGTAACAAGATCATGATAGATTTCTTTCATTGCTGTGAGAGTGAGTGACTGTCGAGTGTGATGCATGATACCGCACTGTTTATTGATTTTACTGTGGATGGCATGTATATGTGGTTTCTCCAGTTAAGTTTCTCATCAACAATTACTCCAAGGAATTTAGTATTTTGTTCGCATTTAAGGACTATATTACCAAGGTACAGGGGGTCCAAGTCTGGGGGTAAGTTTTTTCTTCTGTGAAAGATCGTGTAGTGGGTTTTCTCAAGATTTAGGGTCAGTTTATTACGTATTACCCAGGTCCCGACTTTAGTTAATTCAGTGTTCATAGTTCTCATCAAGGAATGGAGGTCTGAGTTGCTGGCATAGAGATTACTATCGTCTGCAAATAAGTTGTATTTTATGAGTGGGCTGGCGTGGACTATGTCATTTATGTACAACAAAAACAGTACTGGACCGAGAATTGAACCTTGGGGGACTCCATACAAGATAGGCGAGGAGTCAGATTGGTGGTTATTATAACAGACATACTGCATCCTGTTGGACAGATATGAGGTAAACCAATTGTGGGACAGGCCCCTAACGCTGTAATGTTCAAGCTTTGAAAGGAGGATGGTATGGTCGACAGTATCGAAGGCTTTAGAGAGGTCCAAGAATATACAGACTGTGAACTGACTGTCATCAAAGGAATTTAAGATGTCATTAGTAAAGGATAGCAGAGCACTCTCAGTCGACCTTCTAGCTCTAAATCCAAACTGGGAGTCTGTAAAGATGTCATTGGCATTGCAGAAGGAATTTAGTCTATTTCATGCTAGCTTTTCCAGTATCTTACTCAAGGCTGGGAGGACTGATATGGGGCGGTAGTTCTTGAAGAGACCTTTGTCCCCAGATTTTTTATATGCCGGGTGGACTTAAGCAATTTTCAGTTTATCAGGAAAGACACCACTAGTGAAGGAGGAGTTACAAATGTGGAGGAGAACAGGTAGTAATAAGTGGGCCACTTTCTTAATAATGCTCATTGGTATATTGTCTTCGCCTGCTGCTGCATCTTTGGACATTTTTATGATGGCCAGTAATTCATCTGCTGTGACAGGGGATAAGAATAGTTCATTTTGCTGTCTGTTTTGCAGGTAGGCTCTAAATTCCTCATGGTGATCAGGGATGCTCTCTGCAAGATTTTTCCCAACATTAATAAAATATTCATTGAAGTGGTTGGCAATGAGGGAGGTTTCCGTTATAACTGAATCGTTTATCATAAAAGCTGCGTGGGGGGCCGAAGGCTGAGTGTTCCTGTTCTGAATAGAATTTATGACATTCCAGGTTTTCTTACTATCGCCTGATGCTGACGAGCTTATTTGTATAATAGTTACGTCTGGTATTTCTAACTGCTTGAGTTACTCTATTTCTGATACTTCGGTAAGCATCACCGAAAGTTATGGGTCTTTTTGCAAATTTCCTTTGGAGTTTGTGTTTTTCCTTTATCATTATCTTAATTTCGCTTGTGATATAGAGTTTGGAAATGGATACAGTTTTCACTGACTTAGTCTTGAGCGGGAAGCATTTATCAAAGCAAGCATTGAAGATGCTAGAGAAGTTACAGCTGTTCACGTTAGGGTTGTTGGAGGCATAGACAAGATCCCGGTTAGCATTCATTAGGTTGTTTTAAAAAAGGAGCATGTTGTCGGCGCAGTAGTCTCTGTATTGGATTGAGACTCTACTAGACCTTTCAGGTCTTGTGGCTGTTTTATACATGGCAAAAACTGGGAAGTGATCTGAGATATTGTTATAAATAATTCCACTTGCTAGGTTGTTAGGAGTGTTGCTAGTCCAGATATGATCTATCACAGTGACAGAGGTGGCAGTTACTCTAGTGGGTTTGGTTATAGTGTTGAAGAAGAGTTTAGAATGACAGGTAGCAAGAAGGTCTAATACTGAGGTGTCAGTTTCTGATTTTAGTAGATCAAGGTTGAAATCTCCTGTGATGTAGCAGTCTTTCCTCTCTGAACTTATGATAGAGATAAGCTCCGAAAATTTATCAAGAAAATTCCTTACATTAGTGTGGGGTCTTCTGTAGATTACTCCTACTAGGATATTTCGTGTGTCGTTACGTAATTCAATGAAAACACTCTCCATGTACTCCTGAACCTTTAAATCATCTCTTACAGAAGTGTTATACTTGATATCAACATATAGGGCGACACCACCACTGTGTCGTGACGTGTTGACGCAGTGTCTATTATAATTAGGAATGTTATACAAATGGTCAATATCGTTAGTGAGTTTGGTCTCACAGAACCCAAGTACATCAAATTTGTGGTCAATGGAAGATAAACACTGATCTAAAAAGGTATCTAGATGAAGGGGAATACTGCTGATGTTATGGCTAATCAAGGAGAAGGAATGAGGTAGTAGGAGACTTGAACTAAACTCGGGAGAGTCAGGAAAGTAATAGTTACAGTTTGGGTTGGTGTAACCCAGTGAGTTTTGTAGAAAGACATCAGGATCGATATGAGGAAGTATTTTGTCGATACCATGGGGATATCAGATTCACGTTGGGAGGGCTAGTTTATTGAGCAACCTTTTACATACTGTGCAAGGCGAATCCCCAAAGCATTATAACAGACTACTGGAAAGGTTGTGGCGTTGATTGTGGTCGTTTTCAACCTTATGTATAATGAAGGGAGGCGTGTGGTGACCTGTAAGAGAACGACGTGTATGGTGACGTGTGGCGACCTGGAAGAGAACGACGTGTATGGTGACGTGTGGCGACCTGTAAGAGAACGACGTGTATGGTGACGTGTGGTGACCTGTAGGAGGAGGTATCGGGACATGGCCATGATATAGTGAGGGAAGGTATGAGAGTCGGGTCGCTATGTATTCCCAGGGGTCAGGAAGAGAGGTAAAGAGGACAGGGGGAGGTAGAGAGGTCAAGGGGGGTGGGGATGGGAGGGGGAGGTAGGTAGAGGTCAGCCGGAGGGGGGAGGGAGGAGAGGTCAGTGGGAGGGGCAGTTGTGTGTTTAATCTCGGTGTGTGTGGGCAGACGCGGGCCTCAGCAGGGAGTCTGGCGCCACAGCCACCACAACCACAACTACCACCACTGCTCCCACGAAAACCACAACTATGACAACCACAACTATGTACTACCACTGCTCCCACGAAAACCACAACTACTACTATCACAACAACCACAACTACCACTTTCTACCACAACTACTACTACTACCACCACTACTGACTCACCACCACCATAACAACCACCACTATAACCCACCCAGAGCTACCACCATCCATTTCTTATTCACCACCATTCACTAAGGCTACTACAATTACAATTAATTACTACTACTATAACCAGACAGACACACACATACGGAAGGGTAATGTTCCCTCACCCCTCGAAAGATGATGACGAGGGAG